AGATGCCACGCAGTTCATGCAGCTGATGAATGAGCAAACGAAAGGAACCGACAAACCAGTGAGCAGGGAAATCCTAAGGTTACCTGAAGGAAACGGCTGCGGGAAGCGAGCTAAGACGGGGGAGTTGTGAAAAACCGTGCATGATTTTTTTTTAAAGTGGGTAGTACAGGGAGTCCTCTCTCATTTGCTATGCGGCGGACCCCGGTTTGATCCCCGATACCACATAGGGTCCCCTTGAGCACCACGAGGAGTGACCCCACTCAGAGCCAAGAGCAGCCCCTGGTGGGTGTGGCCCTGAACCCCAGCCCCACCCCCCACGAGAAGCATGTCATGAAGGATGTGGCCAGACCGGGGAAGGGCCAGCCCCCCTCACTTGACTGCCCCCAGCTCTGGGCACTGACCCTTCAGGAAGTCGGGCGCTTTGGCGTCAGTGCCCACTTTCCCACCTCCCCGGTGGCAGCGCTTGGCAGCGCTGAGTTCTCTGGTCTCCCCACAGCCCTGACAAAACCCAGTCATTTACCTGCAATCCCAGGGAAGAGGGCGGCAAATCTGTCTTTTGGAAGCGACCAGTTGGGCTCGCCCCAGGCCCTGTCTCAACTGCGCCCCCTTCATACCTCACGCCCCACACCTGCCAGTCTGAATGACTCGCATGGATGAAGTGACAGGCCACACCTGAGCCACCTCCCTACCTCTAGAAGGTTCTGCAAAGGGACGGGAGGGGGGGGGAGCATTGAGGATTTGGAAGATATCCTGGGGGGTGCGGGTAAAAGAGCGCTGTCTTGGTGCTAGAGCGATAGCACAGCGGGGAGGGCGTTTGCCTTGCACCCGGCCGACCCGAGTTCGATTCCCAGCATCCCATATGGTCCCCCGAGCATCACCAGGAGTTAATTCCTGAGTGCATGAACCAGGAGCAACCCCTGAGCATCGCCGGGTGGGACCCAAAAGCCAAAAAAAAAAATCAAACAAGCAAACAAACCGTAATAAAATCACTCAGTGTTGTGCCAGGACTCCTGCTCAGTGTGAAAGGAGGGCGGGAAGAACAGTCCAGAAGTGCAGTGAGGAATGTGAAGCGCCCAGTGCCCTGTAACCCCCGAACATGCGCCTAGGATGACCTAGGCCGGAGCTTCTCAGCCTTCCCTGGCCATGTTCCCCCTCCTGTGCCCCAGTCCTACCATCTCATGCTGTGGACCCCCGTTTACATAGTTTTCACCTGTGGCCCCCTCGGAATCTCCCGAGGCACCAGGTAAGCCCCCCCACCCCCGCATCATTGGGGCCAAGTGAGCACAGCGGGGAGGGCGGCTGCCTTGCACGTGGTTGGTCGAACAGGGTTCCATCCCCGGCACCCCCGAGGGTCCCTCAAGCCTCCAGGAGTGATCCCTGAGCCCAGAACCAGGAGTCAGGCCTGAGCCTCGCCCAGTGTGGCCCCCAAATGAACAAACAAAAGCAACTCTCCCCAAAGACCACACAGCTTCGGAAGGGCCTGAATCAGGCCCGGACCCTCGACAGCTGGCTCCCGAGTCTGTGCTCTTACCCAGTACCCGGTGTAGCCCTGTGGCGAGCCTCTCCGTGGAGACCGCAGATTCACACACGTGCCTGCTCTCCCCCTCCCTCCCCGCCTCCCCTCCCCCTCCTCCCCCCCAGTCTCCTCCCCTCCCCCTCGCTCCTCTTTCCCTCCCTCACCCTCTCTTTCCCTTTCTTCCTCCTCCTCTCCTCCTCCCTCCATTTCTGTCTCTCACTCTCTCTCTTTCTCTCCTTTTCCTTCTGGTTCTGGACCAGACGATAGTACAGCAAGTCGGGGGCTTGCCTTGCCCGTGGTTCAATCCCCAGCGTCCTTTATGCCCCCTCCCAAGCCCCACCAGGAGTGACTCCTGAGCACAGAGCCAGGAGTATGCTCTGAGCACTGCCAAGTGTGGCTACAAAAACAAAACAAAACCAAAAATCCCACAACAACAACAACAACAGCAAAATAACAAAAACCCAAAATGAGTCACCAGAGGATTTAGTGAGTCCCCTGACCAGGGTGCCATCAGGGCCGAGGAACCCAGTCCCCTAGGGTCGGGGTGCAGTTGGTGCCCCTGGGGCCTGCAGGGTCGGGCCGGAGAAGGTCTGCGGTCTGCAGCAGGGCCTGTTGCTGGCCTGGAGTCCTCCCCGGCAGGGGTGGGGGGAGTGCTCCTACCCTGTGCCCATCACAGCCGTGGGGGCAGCTGCCAGGGGTGCAGGTGCGGCCCGGAGCTCAGTGACCGGCCTGGTCCTCCTCCTCGGTGTCAGTAAGCGGGGAGGGGCTCTTAAGGCTGTGCTCACAGTGCAGCATGCTTGGTCTGTTCTAGGGTGTGTGTGTGTGTGTGTGTGTGTGTGTGTGTGTGTGTGTGTGTGTGTGTTTATGGGGTGGTCACACCTGGCAGTGCTTAGAGGCTGCTCCCGGCTCCGTGCTTAGGGGTCACTCTTGGGGCCCGGGGGTGGAAACTGGGAGTCCTGCATGCAGAACAAATGCCAGCGCGTTAGGCATCGTCCCCCGGCCCCCAAGGGATTTTTTTTCTTTTCGGGTCACACCTTGTGGTGCTCAGGGGTCACTCCTGGCTCTGCACTCAGGAATCACTCCTGGCGGTGCTCAGGGGACCATATGGGATGTCGAGGGCTGAACCCGGGTCGGCCGCGTGCAAGGCAGATGCCCTACCCACTGTACTATCGCTCCGACCATCAAGGGAACATTCTTTTTTCTCTCTTCTGCTACCTCATAGCTCCTGCTGCCACTCAACCACAAGGTTTGCCGGGCCCACAGGCTCTGCCAGAACCTTCTCAAGCCTCTCCCACCCCCACTCCGTTCCTCAGGGCCTTCCCTTGTGCCCGCTGCCTGCTGCCCTGCCCTCTCATCCACTGCAACCTCCCCCCAGCCCCGTCCTTCTCTTCCTCCTCCCTCTTCTCCTGAAATAATGAAATAATTCTGAAACGATGCAACACTCATCCTTCCTTCCTTCACGTGTGTCCCCAATGGGGCTGGAGCGATAGTAAAGCGGGTAGGGCGTTTGCCTTGCATGCGGGCGACCCGGGTTCGATTCCCAGCATCCCATATGGTCCCCTGAGCACTGCCAGGAGTAATTCCTGAGTGCATGAGGCAGGAGTAACCCCTGTACATTGCTGGGTGTGACCCAAAAAGAAAAAAAATTCTACGCATGTGTCCCCAAGGCCTGGGTTCTACTCCCAGCACCAGAAAGAAAGCCTCAAGCCAGTGGACCGTCTCTTTGGGGGAGACAGGATCTCCCCCAAAAGAGAGTTCGGCCAACGAAGGGGTCCCGTCATGAGGGCCAGAAGACACAGCGCTGCTGGGGTCTTCTGGGGCTCAAGACTGTTCTGCACTCCCCAACAGTGCTCACGAGCCTCAGGGCAGCACCCAGACGTGCTTGGGGATTTCTTGGGGATCTGTATGGCACCCCAGATGGAATGAGGGTCATCTGCAGGCAGGCCGTGCTCACGCCTGGGGTTTGGTCCCCACCCTAGACTGGCTCTTGTCGCGTTTCCGGTCAGTGGAACTTGGCACCATTTGTCCTTCCGGGACTGTCTTCTTTGACTTGGCAGAATCTCTCAGACCCACATCTGGTAGTGCCAATCAGTGCCTCAGTCCTCCCTGAGGGCCAAGAATAATCCCTTGCGTGGGACCCCTCACCCATTTCCTCCGTCCATTGCTCGGTGGGCGTCTGGGGTGTTTCCGCTGGCCAGGCGGTGATTATGGACCCGTGCTGCTATGACCGTTTGTGCACGTTCTGGTCGTGACGCGGATCTTCCCTCCTGGGGGCTGGGCTGGAAGAGCTCCCCTTCTGGCCAACTTCCTGGCACCACGGATCTGAGCGCCCGCTCGCCCTCCGCTGCCGCCTCACCTCTGAGCTCTGTGTCCCTGGTTTACCCAGCAGCCCCCGCGTGTCACTGGATGCTGTCATTCTCAATTTCTTCCCTGCTCCCTCGCTGGGTGCTAGACTCTGTAAGGGCCAGAGCTCTGCCCTCGGGCTTCTTCGTCACTTGATTGTGCCGGGCTGTCTGGCAGTGAACGAGTGAACGCAGGCAGATACTGTCCTGAAACGGAATGATGCAATGAACAGACAAAGGTTTTAAGCCTGAGTCCGGGAAGGCCACAAGGGGTGTGGGGAGCTCTGTTCGCGTTTTTGGGGAGTGGACAGGGCACACCTGGCCATGCTCAGGGGCTACTCTTGTTTCTGGGCTCAGGAGGGACTTTCTTTTTTAAAACATTTTTAAATATTTTATTTATTTTTATTTATTTATTCTTTGCTTTTTGGGTCCCACCCAGCGATGCTCAGGGGCTACTCCTGGTTCTGCACTCAGGAATCACTCCTGGCAGTGCTTGGGGGACTCTGTGGGATGCCTGGGATCGAACCCAATCGGCCGCATGCAAGGCAAACGCCCTCCCTGCTGTGCTATCGTTCCAGCTCCAGGAGGGACTTTCAGGCATTGCTGCCGGGACCGTATCTTGTGCCAGGGACAGAACAGGAGTGGGCTATGAGCAACGCAAGAGCCCTAGCCCCTGGGCGTCTCTCTGACCTCTCCCTTCTCTTTTTAATTATTTTTTTAATTTGTTGTGTCTTTTTGGGGGGCTGCAGCTGGCAGTGCTTATTCGGGCTTACTTCTAGCTCTGTGCTCAAGGACCCTCCTGGGGGGGCTCGGGACCATATGGGGTGCTGGGGATCAGACCCAGGCCAGCCATGTGCAAAGCAAGCACCTTACCTGCTGTCCTATGACTTGTGCCCACATTGTGCGTTTGCGTTCACAGAAGAGGACTGTGTAAACGGGCAGGGAGTCCTGCAAACGAGCCAGTGTGCGTGCATGTGCGTCTGTGTGTGCGTGCAGGACTGGCGGGGGCACTTTCCTCCCGAATCCGCTTTATGTCTAGACGCGCTCCCTTCCCCTGCAAGCGGGGAGACAGGGCCCAGGCCACAGGCGCTGACGTCACCCTACGTGGCCGCTGACTGATGTCCTGCTCTTGGTTCCCGCAGGTTGGTGCAACCCCTGTGTTCTTGGAGAAAGCTGGTTCCCGTTTTCCTGAGGGGAAGCCCAGAGCTGGAAGGGCGGCGGTTGGCACTTCGAGGAGGAAGTGGAGGCTCAGCCGGCGCCTGGAGTGAGGGCAGAAAGGTGGTGGCTGGGGCTGGGGGAGCCTTCTGGATGGACACCCAGCTGCAGAAACAGACACCCTGATGCTATTCACCGACAGCTCTCTCTATATATATAAAAAAGAAAATATGAATATTACTTCTCAGTGCATGCCTTGTCGAGGACGCGTCCCCTTCTTTTTTTCTGCACCTTCCGATGTGAACTGGGACAGTCGCCTGCCAGGGGCTCTCGGAGACAGCCGCCGCCGCCACCACCACCACCGCCGCCGGAGCTCCTGGGAAACCTGCAAAGACTGGTGGGAATTGAATAACACGTGACGTGGCAGAAGGCAAAGAGGAAGGGAACAAAAAAAATAGGGAAGAAGGGAAGAAAAGAAATGAGGAGGAAGATGTGGGTGGGTGGGGGGCAGGTGCGGGTCTGCGCGATCTCCGTTCCAGAAGCCTCTCGACCCCTCGTGGCCACTTGGTACCTGCCTCTGTAGCTGGCTGTTCCCCCAGCCTCATCACAAGTGGCATCGTTGGTTCCTGCCCATCAGACGGTGTCTCCGGTGCTTCTCTTACAACTGCTGGTGCTAAGTGTGTTCTCGCTGGTGCTGCCGGGGACCCGTGGCACTGTGGCACAGTGCCACCAGATCTGCCGGCCTGAGATGAGATTTTTTATTTTGTTCTTTCGGATTCTTTTTTTTTTTTTCCTGTTTTGAAGGGGCGAGTTGCAAAAGTGCCACTTGAGAATCTCTTTCCGTAAGAGGCGGGGGGAGATGACAAGTAAGCCAGAGGTGGTTTGCGGGAGAATCTTGGCCTGGGAGGGGGCAGCTCTGGTTAGCTGGGGGAGGCAATCCCCAGTGTGACTTGTTGGCTGTCTCCTCCCCTGCAGAGGGTTCTGGAGCTCAGCCCAAGGCTTCCCTCACTCCCTGGGGGAGTTCAGGGCTTGGGTTTTATAGATTGAAGAGCCAAGAAACGGCTCCATTTTGGTCAAGGGTGATTTATCAGCAAGGGACGCGGGGGGAGGGAAGGGCCATTGAAATGAAATGCACCAGCATCTCAATGATTGACAGGAGGGTCTGATTCTTTTTATCCAGGATAAAGCACTATTTTCAGAAGTTTCTAGAAGGGCTAAAAAAATAATAATAATGTGTGTTGGACTGAGACTTGGCTGCAAAGACTCTACAGGGAGCCAGGATTATTATTTTGCTTTAAAAAAAAATCCAAGAAAAACAGGTATTATTTCTCTGTTCAGGGTATCACTCACTCACTGCTATGTTTTGTTCCAAGCCGAGAGGCTGAGGCTTGGGGTACAGGTGCTGGCAGTTATGCTACAAGGCTGCATTTGCAGGGACACCCCCCCCAGAGGAGGACAGGGGGTTCTTGGGCTATCCATAGCTCTCCCTCAGTTCTAAGGGTTCAGGGAGGGGTCATCTGTTGTTAAGGCGGACAGGCGGGGGGCGGGGGGGGGGGGGTGTGAATGGGAACCAACCAGCCTCGGAGGTTTTGCTGGGAAGTCCCAGGTCCTCCTTTACCACACAGGACCTTTCGGCGCACAGGCTGGGAGCAAGTCTTGCTTGCTTGCTTGCTTGCTTGCTTTCCAAAACAACACAATCCCGGCCTTCTGTTCCCTCCAATCGCCCTTTCGAGGCAAATACAACCCAGCAGGGCAGGGGGTGAGGGTGGCTTGCACCCACTCCCCGCAGACAGCTTGTATCTCCGCTCAGGGAAAGGCAGCGCTTTTCTGGAGACCCCGCTCGCCGCCTTCACCCCTGCAGTCCTGTTTACGGGGATGCTGAGGAGGCGGGGTCTGCTGGGGAAGGCTTCGGCGGCTCTGAACTCCCTTTGCTTCTCCCTCCCCTCTCCGAGTCGCTTTCCTAGGCAGACACCAGCGTCTTTCTGGTTCACCCCGTTTTCAGGGGAGGTGTTTTTTCCAGCTGTAGATGGATGCCACCATCTTTCAGACCTCTGGGGAGGTGTGGGGGTGCAGGCTGACCTCCTTTTGCAGCCTTGACTTGCCTGCCAGCTTAGGTATGACCGTCGCTCTGGCGCGTCTAAACTCCGGATGGGTGGGGCGGGCTGGGGGGTGGGGGCGGGCGTTGGGCGTTTGGGCCTGTTTGATTTTTTTTAATGAAGCCACAGTGCGGAGAACAGGGCGACCACGCCTTCCCGTTGGAGCTGTCCAGCCAAGTCCCTTGTACATAATCTCTTGTATTAACAGAAATCCTGTATTTATCGGATCCTGACTTTTTTCTTGCACATCATTAATTGGAGTGCACTTCTCCACCGCCCCGATTTTTTGACAAGGGGTTGTTTTTAATGCTTTTTTTTTACATGAGATTTGACATCTCGATGGACATTTGTATGAGGAAATCGAAGCATGAGATATACATGAATTAGACTGTCCCCACTCTCACGCGCACTGCATTACTTGGATTGCATGAGACAGTGGGGTGGGTTTTTTTTTTTAATATTTCCACAGTGCGCAAAGTGCTGGCACCATCCCTCCCTCCCCCTCTCCCCCCACCCCCTTTCTTTCCCCTCCGGCTGCCAAGGAGTCATTGATTTTGATTAGCTTCACTGCAGAGCGTCTGTGAAAAGAGAGAGGCTTTGAAATAAATTTTAAAAAGACCTCATATCGAGTTTCAGCAGACAGCAGTGTGTGCGCGCGCGTGTGTGTGCACGCGTGTGTGTGTGTGTGTGTGTGTGTGTGTGTGCACGCACGCACGAGTGCGTGCATGTCCACACAATGCAGACGGACGTCTCTGAGATCATTTAAGTAGCTGCATAAAGACTTGAAGAGCAAAGGAAGGGCCCCCGCTTTCCTGATGGTGCTGGGGTGCAGGAGTCCAGAGAGACATACGGGGCCTCTGGGACTTCCACATTCCAGATGAGACCCAGGCCCTTCGGGAAGATTCTCTCCCTCCCCCACACCCCCCAAACACCTAGTGTCTCTTTCCTCCTCTTCAAATGCTGGGTTTCCTTTCAGGTTCCTTTTGGCCCAGTTGCAGCTGGAGTGATCCTTTCTTGGGGGAGAGAGCGCACTGGGCCCCCCCACCCCGGCCGCTGTCCACGGTCCTGGACCCAGCCCCAGCCCTGGAAGCCGCCCTCGTTGTTTTCTCCTCTCCTGGGGACGCTGGAGACGCCTTTCCTGCCTTCCAGTGGTCCGGGTTTTAGATTCTTTTCTATTTGGATGGGGAACGGGTGACGTAAGCAATACTGCCGCAGAAACACGGGGCTGTGACTTTGGCTTCCCAATTTATGTAGCTGATCTCAACCTACTCCGAGTTCTCTCGCGAGGCTGCTGACGGCTGCAAACCGTCTCTTTCCTCGCTGGGAAATTGGCAGGGTGCCCCCTCTGAACTCACAAGGGGTCTTTTGGGGACACTGCTGCTCTCTGTGGACTTTTTTTTAAGTGTCCAACTGCTGTCAGAAGCAGCAGTGACCAGGACGTGAGTCTTGCTCTTCTCTGTTGGAGACCAGCCCCTTTTCTGAATGTTTTTTTAAGCCACCTTGGGCCAATCAGAGGGTCAAAAGCAGATGGAGAGGTGAGGAGTTGCTGGGGGGGGGGAGGCTCGAGCCCCCCCCCAACTAGTCTCCCGGGAACTCAATGAGGGAGGGAGCGGAGTCAAAGTGTCACTTTAAAGCTTAAAGCGAAAGTTTATTTTTTAAAATTTCATTCATTCACTCAACAGCCTATCATTCATCGGGCACCCATCTTGTGCCCGGTGCTAGATGCCCATCTGGGAAGAGGTTTTCTCGCCCGTGCCCGAGGGGCAGCCCTGTTTGCCGTCACAGTGGCCCATGACCTTTGTCCAGATTGGCCAGGGACTCCCTGGGACCCCAAGCTTTGCTGGCAGATGCTGGAGTAGCATTTTCTAGGGCCCCCTCCCACGAAGGGCGAAGAGCCCGCTCTCAGCTCCTCCCTGGGCAGAATGCTGGGTGTTCGCTTGGTGCTTCGCCAGCAGTGGCAGGCATTGGGCATCCCCCAGCTCTGTTCCTGAGGTCACACTCCTTTGGGGCCCCTCAGCCACTTTGGAATGGGGGTGATTCTCCTTCCCCTCCCTCCAGGGAGACTGAGGCTGCGCAGAGTGAAGTGGCTGAGCTTGGCGCCCTCCATGCCCAGCTCTGCTGAGTCCTGGGTCTCCCCAGCTGGGTCCTCGGGCATCACCTCAAGGGCTTGTACCCACCCGGGTCCCTGAGGGGAGCGGGGCACCTGACTGAGGGCCACTGTCCAGGGCATGGCATCTGGGGGCACCTCAGGGCAGGCCGGATGATTTAGTTGAGGATTTAATGTATTGGACCCGTTGGGTCTCTGCTTTCTGGAAGGTCCCTGGGAGGAGCCTGGAGTTTGCCGGCGGGGCCTGTCCGACTTATTTCCTAGGACACAGGAAGCCTTTTGCCTCCCTTCTTGTCTCCCGACCCGTTTCTGACCCCACAAGTCTCGCCTTTAAGGAGAGCCCGTGTGCAAGGGAGGGAAGGTGGGGGGTTGTCTGGAGCCGAGCTGAGGTCCCTGGCCCCACGAGCTTGGGGACATTCCGTGGCAGGGCCGGGCCTGTGGGTTCCTTGTGCTGTTTTGTAAGAGGAATTTCATACCTTGGAGACGCTTTGTACATATTTGTAATGACTTTATTAAAAACCGGGCCGTGCACTTCTAGCCAAAGGCGTCTGTGTTTTCATTTCCTTGGGAAGGATTGCCCCCCCCCGGGATGCGGGGGAGGGGCCTGGCTGCACCCCACAACTCCCCAGAGCAGAAGGCCCGACATTCCCCTCCCCCATTTCTTCCTGAGAAGCCCCTAACCCTCACGCAGGAGCTGGGCCGACACAGCACCTGGGAGCTGGGCAACGGGATATGGACACACAACAGCTCAGGATCAGGGCATCCACGTGATGCCACGTTCCTCTGTGCCATCACATGGGCAAGCAGCTGAGTACGGAGCGGAATCTCCAACCGGACACACAGGCCACACGGGTGAAAAGCGTACCCATATTTATCAGGTCTATGGGTGTCAAGAGACTGTGCTCCAGTCTCTTCCACAGAATAGCGGGTGTGGACACTTTGCTTTCACTCTGGGGACGGGTCCCCACCGCTCCCAGCTCAGGTGACTTGCCTGCCTTCACCCTCCTCTGCCCTAAACCTCCTGGCACACCCCTGCCCAGCCCCAGCCCGCGTCTGTGCTCCCGAGGCTAACGTAACTGGTTTGGGGACAAACTACTGCTCTCTCACAGGCATCCCCGAAGCCTCAGGGTGGTTTCTCTCTGGAGGGACAGAGCCTTCTCGAAGCTGTTTCTCCATAGGCCCAGGAGTTACCTGCTAAACAGAGTCTAGGAGGAAGAAAAAAAAAGAAAGAAAAGAAAAAAAATGGGGCCGGAATGGTAGTACAGCAGGGAGAGCGTTTGCCTTGTACGCAGTCGACCTGGGTTCGATCCGTGGCATCCCATATGGTCCCCCAAGCACCGCCAGGAGTAATTCCTGAGTGCAGAGCCAGGAGTAACCCCTGAGCATCGCTGGGTGTGACCCAAAAAGAAAAAAAAAGGAAAAAAACAAACAAACCAGAGTCTCGGAGGAAAATAAAGGAGAAGTAAGTCCTGGTTCTGGGAGCATCCCTGGAACCTGACAGGACACAGCCCTCGCCCACCCCCCCACCACCACTCCTGCCGCACTGCCACCCTTGGACACACACGGAACAATGCTGTCCCGTCAGAGTCGGGCATGACTTGGTTTTCAGAGCATCGTTGCAGAGTTGGCTCTGTGAGCTGGAGACGACGTGTGGTGTGTAGAATATCCTGGGTTCGACTCCCGGTACTGCATGCTCTCCCCCAAGACCTTCCTGCCCCTACCCTGCACCAAAAACCTCACATACATCCAATAAAAGCAGCTACATTTTATTTTTCATAGGTACCACACTTGACAGTGCTCGGAGGAGCATGTGGTGCCAGGGACCAGACCCAGGGCCTCACACATGCAAAGTACGTGCTCCCTGTGACTCCATGTCTTAGCCGTTCACATGATAACCGACATTCACGATCTGGTCCCCGGGCGAAGCCTTCTTCAACCAGCCCCCACACTCTGGGCGGAGACAAACTCGATGGAATTAACCAGCTCTTTGGGTCCCACCCAGTCGCTTCTGCCAGTTCTGGGTTCCATCCTGCCCTTTGTGCCCGCGGTGGCACCTGGTATAGATCCGGGGGCCCCCAGTGGAGACTCCCCCACAACCAGGGGCTGATGAGAGAGAGGAAGAGCAAGTGGGACCACCCTGAGCTGCAGTCAGACCCCCCACAGCTGCATCCGGATGTCTCCCCAAACAGTGGCAAGGGGATCTGCCTTGGATGATGCTGGGATTGAACCCGGGTTCAACCCCCAGCATCCCATAGTATGGTCTCCTGAGCCTGCCAGGAGTGATCCCTTGAGCACGGAACCAGGAGTAAGCCCTGAGCATCGGGCTGGGTGTGGCCCCCAAACCAAAAACTGCCAAATCCCCCTTTGGCTTCACTTCTTCCTCATCCCTCTCCCGAGCCAGTCCTGGCCTGGCTTCTCCCACCCGTACCTGGACAGGACCCGCCGGCGGAGGCTGAGTCCATCGGGCACCCGGTGCTGAGAGCACATCTCTCTGAGCTGGTGCGACAGCTCCAGCCTGGCTGCAGAGGTCCAAGGAAACGCGGCAGGAGGCTTATTGGCAGCAGGGAAGCTCCTGGACCACGATCCTGGGATCGACCTTTCTCCTTTCAACCCTGAGTCTCAGTGGCCTCGGTGCTGGCCAAGGGTGGTGTCCCTTCAGCTGCCCTGTCCTCGACTCACATTCTGAATCTGCTGGAGACCGTTGCCAAGGGATTTGTGGAACTGGAGTCAGTGAGTCACAGGCGTGAGGATCCTTATCTTGATCCCAGGAGTACCGAGCAAAGACAGGGAGAGGAGAACGGGGATCTTCACTCCCGAGGGGTGAAGGCAGCCCACAGCCGGATGTTGGGACATCGGCGCTAACCACTGCTCCTCCCTCCCACCCTTCCCAGACAATCTCCCCGGCAGGCTCTCTTCCAGACAGCAGGGAATGAAGAAATAAAATCCAGAACAAAACCATCCCACCTGCCCTGCCCTGCAACTCCCCTAGTTCCCTGCCTTTCTCCCCTCAGCGTCAAGGTCCCTGACTTGAAGGATGTCGTGTTTCAGGAGCTAGACTGAGTGTCCAGCACAAAAGGATCCTTGTTACCCATCAGTCGGTCACAGTGTGAATTTCCTGGTTCCAGAGACTCCTGCCCTGGGTTTTGTCACCCTGGAGATGGTGACCGGGAGATGCCATGACGCCCCAAAGTCTCAGGCAGTGTTTGGGCCTGGGATCCCTGGCCTGGTTCGCTCCATCTTCCTCCGCAGATGCTGGAATTCGGTTCTTCCAGTTCCCCCCACTCGACTCTCGTTTCTTGGGCAGTGTATCCTCAGGCTGGGCGCGCCCAGTCAGAACCAGCTGCAAAAGCTCCTGCCTTGTCTCCCTCGGGTCCTTCCTCGAGGGATGACGAGAACAGAGCAGTTTCCTCCTCTTCCCCTTTGGTCTTGATTATCCAGGCAGGTGAGATTATAGCATCTCTGCAGTTGCCATAGTAACAGGGCTTGAAAGCTGCCCCGCTGCCCAGGCCGGGCTGCCTGGCTGGGTACCAGGGAGGAGGTGGGGATTAAGGCCAAGGGAAAGGCCTGGCTTGGAGGCACCCAGGAATCATGTCCTGGATCTTAGTGTGGGGTGGGGGACTCAGGATGGGCCCACCCGGCATCTGAGCAGGACTGCCAGGCAGATAACAGAGTGGAGAGAAGCCAGGGGCTTTGAGTGACCGCCTGGGTCATCTCCTGGCTTCAAGCAGGTCATCCTGGGTGGAAAAGATGCTTTGAGGCAGAGACTGGAGTTGTCCCTGGCTCCAGGGCCGTGGGAAAAAATCCATAACCCAGATGGTCCCTCTTCTGTGAGGGCACCTAGGGTGCAGGGGTGAGGGGAAGGCAGCAGCCGTGGGAGCTGCTGACAAGCATAAGACTTCGATGAGGGAGAGAAGACTCCAAGCAATAGAAGACAGGGTCTGGCCGTGGGGCCCCTGTGGCATCCACAGCTGGGCCACGAGGCAAGTTCTTGCCACCTAACTGGCCCTGGGCATGGCCGGAGAACTCGGGAAGGGGCATTACGAAGCAGAGTGTCCACGGACAACCGGCAGAGTCCAGGAACCAGGGCTGACCCTCCGCCTCAGTGCGGCCCTCCACAAACATGTTCGGCTCAGAACAGTGCTGTGAAAACCCCACTGCACCCTGAGGTCTTGAGCTGAGGGCTGGAAATTCGGCCAGCAACTGAGTCAGGAGGCCCTGGGAGCTCCAGGCCTCAGTTTCCCTCTCTGCACAGTGGAAGGAGGAGAGTGGAGAACATACAGGAAGCCGTTTATGGGGGCCGGGGGTGCTTACCTTACTGCAGCCGGGAGGAGGGGGTCCCTCCACCGGCACCTGGACGCTCCTTCTCCTGCAGACTAATGGGGGGCGTGCCCCCTGGGCCCCTCCCATTTTGAAGCCCCAGGAATTCGGCTATGGGGAGTGACAATAGAAAAATGGGGGTTGGGGGGCCTCTTCATTATCTAATAGACTCCCCCGAAAGGGAAACTGAGTCTGGGTTAGGGAAGGGGATACACTGCAGCCCGGAAACGAGGAAGGGGGCAGAAACAAGGAAGGGGGCAAGGCGGAAAGGAGAGAGGGCGGGGCTTAGAATAAGGGGTGGGGCATAGAGAAGAGGGCGTGGCGCGGAGGGGGCGGGGCGTAGAAGAGGAGGCGGGGCGTGGGGATGGGGCGGGGCGTATAGATGAAGGGGCGGGGCGGATCCAGGCCTGGTCCGAGGAGTCGGCTGGGCCCCCTCGCCTAGTACACCTGGAAGTGCGCAGATGTGGCTCCGTCCTTCCAGCAGCGCAGCGTGTCCACGGCCACCGAGCGGCACAGCGGGCAGGTGCGCTCCCGGTCCAGCCACAGACACAGGCACTCCTCGCAGAACACGTGCTGCAACGGGAGACAGCAACGGGGCCCGCCTGACCCTGCCGCCTTCCCACCCCGGGCCCCCGCCCGCGCCTGGGAGAGACCCTTCATGACCGGCTGGACTGATGAGGCCCGGCCTGGGGGCGCCAGAATCCCATCCCCCCCGCCCCCGTGCCTGACCGCATTGCACCAGCCTGGGCATTGGACAAGCCCCCAGGCTCCTGCACTTTCCAGACCCATGCTTCTGAGAGTGTGGGGGTGGGGGGTGGGGTGGAGGACAGCTGGCCAAATGAGGTCACACGAGGTGGCCTGCAGAGCTGGATAAAACTTGGCAGAGGGGGAAGAGGCCCTGAGCGCCGGTGACAGAGGGACGCATCCTTGGCAACCCCAAGGGCGGAGGTGCCCTGGCACACGAGTGGCTGAGCGCTGAGCTGGGGGGATGGGATGTGGGCAGAAGGCACAGGCCCTCGGGAGGGTTCCCCTGCGTGTTCTTCAGCCTCACTCCAAGGTGCTGGGGTGGGGGCACTGAGACGCAACTCCTGCAGGCCTGCTCTCCCCAGGCTGCGCTCAGCGACTCTGGCGTTGCTCCAGAGATGAGGCAGAGCCAGGCAGGGCTGGGAGCAGAGGCGGGACCTGCACCTGGTTTGCTGGGTACCATGATGCCCTGGGGACTGGGGTGGCCACCAAGGTCTAGACCAGGTCCTGAGCAGGCCAGCACCAGTTCCGAGCTCTGGAACATCAGGCTGGTTCCAGGGATGGCCCCTGCCATGGGTGTGGCCCCCATCAAAAGAAGAAAAAGCCTGGAGGCAAGAACCATCAAGCACATGCTGGATGACTCAGGCAAGTGTCCATTGGCCTGGATGGGCCTCAGAAGACTCCCTGTGCCCCTCTCCTCTGCACGTTAGAGTGTCTGTGAGGAAGGAATCAGCAAAGGCTGGTAACAAAGCACCTGCTAAGGAAGCCAGAGACAAGATGAACAGGATCCACTGCACCCTTGCATCTTTCTTTCATTTATCATCAGCACTCAGACGTAATGAATGACCAAGAAACAGAGTGAGGTTTGGTTCCCACTCACTGGCTGCTGACTTCTCCTGGGCAAGCTGCCTTTCAGTCAGCCCAGTATGGGGACCTGTGTTCAGTCAGCCTTTCCTTGGTCATCTGCACTGCTGCAGGAGTGACACCAAGATCCCTTTTTTAGGGCAGGGGTCCTGGCATGCAGATCAGAGCAGAATCATGGACCCCGACTCAAGCTCTGCTTCCCAGGCCCTGAATCCATGCAGGGAATAGGAGCAGGTGTGAGTTGGATGGATACTGGGTATCAGGGATGGACAGATGGATACTGGATTCATGGATTGTGGATATCAAGGATGGATGGATGGGACTGGACGGATGGATGTTGGACAGGATGCATGGAGAGACAGATATTGGATGAATGCAGGATATCATGGATGGATAAATGGATACTGAGTGGATGAATGTTGGTACCATGAATGGATGGATATATCTATTCAAGGTAATGAGTATCAAGGATGGATAGATCTATATCTAAATGTAGAATATCATGGATGGATAGATGGCTACTGGATGGATGAATGTTGAGTATGATGAATGGATTGATGGATATCATATGGATGCAAGGTATTATGGATAGATGGATACTGGATGGATGAGTGCTGGGTATCGTGAATGGATACTGGGCAGATATATAATATCATAGATGGATAGATGGCTATTGGATGGATGATGTCAAATATGATGAATGGATTGATGGATATCATACAGATGCAAGGTATTATGGATGGATGATGGAGACTGGATGAATGCTGGGTATCATGAATGGATAGATATTGGACAGATACAGAATATCATGAACTGGGGCTGGAGTGATAGCACAGCAGGTAGGGTGTTTGCCTTGCACGTGGCCAATCCAAGTTCGATTCCCAGCATCCCATATAGTTCCCTAAGCACTGCCAGGAGTAATTCCTGTGCATCTCCAGGTGTGACCCAAAAGCAAAAAAAAAATCATGAATTGATATATGATATTGCTCTTGGATGGATGGATGTTGGATATAATGAAAGAATATTGTATGGATGCAGGATATCATGGATGGATGGATGGATGGGCGTTGGATGGAAAGGATGAATGTTGGGCCTCATGAATGGGTAGATGAATGTTGAGATTTACCCACCACGGGATATGCCCTTGGCTTCTGCATCTGAGATAACTGTGTCTTGTCCAACCCTTCCCAAGAACACTAACCCAAATCTGGGAAGACAGAGTGAAATGGGAAGAATGAGAGAGAAACAGACTAAGGCTTGGCAAGATTTCCGGAAAGGAAGAAGCAAGACTTTCACCTTGACATCATGTTCAAGTAAGCACTGCTCCTGAGAAGGAAATACAGATGGCTCCGAAGCATACGAAATGATGCTCAATTGCGCTCATAATTAGGAAAATGCAAATCAGGACTGTACTGAGAGCGCGTTTGTCACCTGTCAGATTAGCACGGCTCCAAAATGCCTCATCACACTGTTGGGGCGGGGAGGGGACAGGAGGTCCCTGGGCTCTGCCCTCCCTGGAGTGGATACACCCTTCAGGGAACCCAATCTAGCAATGCCTGCCAATGTACCCTCCAACCTAGTGACTCCGCCACGAGGACTCTGTCCCCTTAATAGTGCGCACGCGTGTGACAGCCAACAAGCCTGCTCCTTGCTGAACCCAAACAATGCTGAGCAGTCCCCAAGGCCTCGCCCGAATGAGCTCATTTCAGCCATGCACCCTGCCCAGGTAGGCACTGCCCAGGTGTCCGGCCTGCTCTCTGATGACAGCCATCCTCCTCTTTGCAGGAAGAGCTACTAAATGCCCAGGAGGCAGAGAAGAGTGAAGGGCTGGGGGCCTGCCCACGAAAGGGGGAGGCTTAGCAAATTAGGACAATGTCTTCAGACAGAATTTCAAAAAGGAAAGAGGCAAATGCATCTTGGGCTGGATATGTCTCAGCTTACGTGTTGTTGAAAACCATATGTCTGTTCCTATATATACACGCATACATCCACATATATGGATGTCTAATTTCTATAAGGCGTCTCTGGAAATGCATCGAGGAGGCTGGCAACAAGGGTTCCCTGTGAGGACAGTGGGAGCCGGGGGTGCTGAAGACAGGCGGGAGCCCCTTCACCACTTCCCTCTAGGATCGTAGGGGATTTGGGCCATACTGAGCAGCACTCAGGGCTACTACTTCCAGCTCTGTGCTCAGGGGTTACTCCTGGCAATGCTTGGGCGACCATGTGGTGGTGTGGATAGAATTGGGTCAGTTATGTGTGAGGATAAATGCCTAACCCTGCACTATCTCTCTGGTCCTAAAATCTTTTTTGTTTGTTTTTGGACCAAACCCAGCAGTACTAACCCCTGGCTGTGTTCAGGCATCACACCTGGCAGGACTTGGGGGACAATATGGGGTGCCGGGGCTCAAATCTGGGTCAGCTGCAGGCCAGGCAAGTGCCCTACCCACGGTACTATTACTCTGTCCCTGCAAAACCTTTTTAAGTAAATCTTTTATTCCCAAATAACATCAAGCTTATAAAAATGCGGGAAAGAGAGTGAAGAGTGCCTCCTCCTGCTAAATTTTCCCCCAAATCACCCTGAAATTTCCTCAGAAATTTTCCTGTCTTCTTCCCAAGTTCCCGATATCCAGAGTCTCCCACCTGACCCTCTCTTGGAAGGTATTCATGGGTCGCTGGTTTTCCCCCTGAAATGATCAGCTGGCATCACAGTGGCCATCTGTCAAACTAAGAGACTGAGGAATTCATCCATTCTGAGGAATTCAAAATCCAGATCTTGTGCGGATGGCCTCAAACGCATCTTCCTACCTGGGGTGACACCTTCTCTCATCCGGGGACCAGCCCTTGTCCCACACTGCCCTTACATGCTACAATTCATATAGTTTCCTTTTGGAGTTTTGGATCAGACAGTGACATTCTCCTTTTAAAAACAGACAAAGGGCAAGAGAGAGAGTACAGTGAGTAGGCATTTTCCTTGGTCCCTCGAACCCCTCCGGGCGAGATTCTTGGGCATAGAGCCAGGGATGAGCCTGGAGCACTGCTGGATGTAGCCCGAAAACTGAAAAGTGAAAAATAAATAAAACAGGAGGCCAGGGAGCTGAGTCTCTGGGCTGGAGCACAAACTTTGCATGTGGGAACCCTGGGTTCCTGTCCCAGCCCCCCAGGGTTCGCCAGGCACCTCCAAGGAAGACCCCCTCCCTAACAAAACAACAAACTAAAAATAAGTCTTGGGCTGGATAGCACTGCAGGGAACATGCTTGTACAGCTGACCGCAGTTAGAACCCCAGCTCATCTGAACCCCCACACACCGCCAGGAGTGATCCCTGAGCACCCCTGGGCGTCACCCCTAAACCAAACCAAAAACAAGAGCAAAATGAAACAACCCCCAGTCTCCTAAAATCCCCAAACAGCACAAACCAAAAGATCTGCAGGTACCCCCAAAGGACACCATCCCCCCCACCCCATCCTACACCCCCAGAAGGTGGAGGCGGGGATCCATAAGCCCTTCATTACTTCCAGTCTACAGGTTCTGCCTCCTTCTAAAAATCCTTCTAAACTGCATCTCTTTGCCCCCTCCCGGTCCCCCGGCCCCTGGGGACAGTGCAGGAATCTATCCCACGTGGCCCGCACCACGGCCCGCCTTGTTTCATCGACATTTATGGGCGTGGAGAGAGCACAGGCTCGAGAGGAGGGCATGAGGTCTGTGTGCCCTGGGCCTTCCTGCTGTCCCGCTGTGTGTGAGGGGACCCTGGGCTTCAGACTCAGTGCTGAACTGACGTCTCAGCCCCCCGGGTCAGGGCAAGAGAGAGCAGGAGGAGGAGGGACACACCGAGGGCCTGAGACGCACCCACCAGTCCTGTGTGCTACGGGCTGGTGATGCCAACTGTGGATAAAAAACCGAAGGTGACGGACGAGGCTGCTGCTGACAGACGCCAACTGTTAGGGGGAGTGAGGCGAGCGGAGAGCTCCCAGGAAACAGCAGAGAAACTCATGATTGGGATTATTCTGGGTTCTGTACACCCGGTGGTGCTCAGGGCTTACTCCAGGTTCTGCACTCGGGGGTCACTCCTGGTAGGGCTTGGGGGACCACATGGGATACAGGGGATTGAACCGGTTGGCCGTGTGCAAGGCAAGCACCCTCCCTGCTGTACTCTTGCTCCGGCCCATGCTCAGGGCTCCACAGCAGTGCTCAGGAGTCAAGGCACTGCTCCCAGCAGTACTGCGTGGGTCTGGTGCTTTGGTGCTGCTCAGGTCTGGCAGTGCTTTCTTTCTATTTTATTTTTTATTTAATTTTTTTGGGGGGGCACACCTGGCTATACTCGGGGCTTATTGCTAGTTCTGTGCCCAGGGGATCACTTCTGATGGGGCTCAGGAGACCATTGGTGAGGGCTGGACTCGAACCTGGGTTCAGTGTACCAGACCAGCACCTCAGTCCTCATTTGTCGTTCTATCACTCTGACCCCAGCAGTGCTATTTTGGGGGTGGGGACCAAGTAATAGGGTCCTGGGGATCAAACTGGGGGCCTTGCACCTGTAAGGCCTGTGCTCAGCCCTTAGAATTCTTCCCAGCCCAATGATGCCCACTTTATAGTGAGAAAAAAAAAGAGAGGGCTGGGGGGATAGTACAGTGGGGAAGGCATTTGCTTTGCATGTGGCCAACCTGGGTTCGACCCCCAGTATCTCATATGGTCCCCCAAGCACCACCTGGCTCCTGAGTGCAGAGCCAGGAGTAATCCCTGAGCATCACTGGGTGTGACCCAGAAAGCAAAAGCCAAAAAAAAAAAAAAAAAGACTCTGAGAGATGTCGTGGCCCACCCAGGGTCCAGAGTGCAGCTGAGACTTGTCCTGGCGGTATCCTGGCACTGAACCCCACTGAATCCTTCATTTTCTCCTTTAACCAACAGCACCATTAGAATGGTGGGGTCACTTGCTGGAGGCCACCCGCAGCCGAGCTTCGACGCGGCTAACTCCAGCCAAACTGCTCCAAAGCACATCTCGGAGCCCCGGGTCCGGTCCTGGGACAGTCCCACAACCTGGGCTCAGGGTCTCACCCTGCAGTACCCCCAGATTCAAGCTCCCTAGGTCTGCCTTGCCCTGCTCACCTGGCACATCAGGATCAGAGGGTCCCTGAACTCCGCCTGGCAGATGGCACAGATGTCGCCGGCTTCTGTGCACTGCTGCCCGGTGGCTCGCACTCCGTAGTTCTGTTTTAGGGCGGGAAGACAGACATGCAGAGCTGGGGTTGGTGGGGACCATGCGGGGGCTGATGGCTCAGGGGAAAGCACCTGTCTGGTGAGCATGAGGTCCTAAGTCTGAGCGCGGTGCCAGTATGGTTGCTCCTGCCCCATCACCCCTCTGTGCCTGGCAGCTCTGAGATTCCCAGCATCACCCCGGTTTTCAGCTGTACTACAGCCCGGGGGGAGCAGGTGCCACTACGAAAGGGCATGACCCTGGCCAACACGACCAGCACTCTGAAGAGAGACTCAGAGAGCACCCTGGCAAGGCTGAAAGCCAGAGAAAGCAACAGCTGGCCTGCACCAGCACTCACTGTGTGGGCACCAGCCCAGAGTGTGTGCGTGTCTGGGACCCCAACTGAGGGAACAGAGGCGGGAAGTGTATCCATGGGCCCCCGCCGGGTGATGCCCTCGGGTTTGTGTCTGCTTCTGCTTCCTCTGACTTCACCGGTCAGGATCCTCGGAAGCTGACTCACCTGAGGGGTGCAGAGAAGTTTCAGGGCTTTCCTCACTCCGCCCACACGGCCGCATATGTCGAAGGACTAGAAGAAGAGGAGGGCGATGTGTGACAAGGATCCAAGGACTGTCCACCCCCAAACCGACTTCATTGGAACACTTTCATAGGATATTTTAAATTTCTCTTTCCCATGGGTTGTCTCTTGCTGCCTGGGATCATTAACTCCCTCTCCTGCCCCAGCTAGGACAGTCTGTATTCAGTATGCAGAGGGGGTATTCCCCCATTTCCCAGGCCAGGCCAGGCAACACCAATCAATCCCAGCACTCTTCCCCTTCTCACGCCAAGGTAGGCATTGCTAATGGATCCCAAGACTCTTCTTCTGAGCCCAGTCAGGGCTCAGGATCCAATGTGCACCCAGCACTCTGGACAGTCACTGCCAGCCCCAATCAGAAGCAAAGGCAAAGAGAGTTCAGAGAGCTGGACCCATGCCCTGCACACACAAGGCCCAAGTCCCATCCCGGGCACTATGGTCCCTCAAGCACTGCCAGGAGCAACTCTTGAACCCGGAGCTGGGAGTAGCCTCAGTGAACCACCCAGATGTGGGAGAGAAGGAGGAGGAGGAGGAGGAGGAGGAAAAGGAGGAGGGTGGGGAGAGGCACGGCATGGTTGCTAGGCTAGACCTGCTGAGTGTGAGAATGGAAGAGAAGACACACGTGTTCCCCTTGGACTCTCGAAAGCCAGAAACAGAGACGCAAACAGGGAAGTGGGGGTTTGGAGAGACAGCACAGCGGGCAGGGCACCTGCCTCACATGATCCCAATCCCCAGCCCCCCATGTGGACCCCAAGTCCTGCCAGGACTGATTCCTGAGTACAGAGCCAGGAGGAAGTCCTGACCTCTGCAAGGTGTGGCCCCAAAACAACAACAACAAAACAACAACAACAAAAGAATAAATAAGAAGAGGAAGCATTTTAATTTTTGGCTTCTTTGGGTCACATTCGATGATGCTCAGGGGTTACTCCTGGATCTGCACTCAGGAATTACTTTTGGCGCTGCTCAGAGGACCCTATGGGATGCCAGGGATCGAACCTGGGTCAGCCACATGCAAGGCAAACGCTCTCTCCACTGTGCTATCTATCGCTCTGGCCTCAAGAGAAAGCATTTATTTTTGTTAGGGGATAGGCAGGTGTGTATCAACATTCCAGAGAGGCTCTGGGCACTGCCGTGTGGTCAAGGAGGAGCATTTCCAGGTGTCCAGGGGCTAGAATGTAAATTCAGAGGCAGCAGCTGAGGGCTGTGGTCACCAGAGGCGGCATGCATTGTTATCTACCCGAGCGGTGGTGGGGAAGTTTCTTCCCTGGCGCTGCCCTCCTTGTCCAGGCCCGAGATGGGGGCCTGGTGGAGGACTGTGGGAAGGCAGCGAAGGAGGGGCCCTGACAGGGAAGGGGTGAAGGCCGCGGAAACTCGGGAGCGTGATGCTCAGGTCTCGGAAAGAGACAGAAACACTTGAGGCCACAGGAGCTCAAAGACCCCTGGCAGTGGTGGGTGCTTATGTGGGTGTAGTAAGCTGAGGAGTGAGGGACCATCACGGACGGTCTCGCCAGATGGGGACCCGTACTCACTGAAGCAAAGGGACAGGTGGTCAGTCCCCAGCTCCCCCCCTGGACTCCGGGACTATACGCGGGGGGTGGGGGTGGGGTGGGGATCAGAGGGAAAGGGGGGTGGGAAGGAGGAACAGGGAGCGAGAATTGGGAGGGATGGGCAGCACTGGAACTTGGGGGTGGCATGGTGAGCCCGAGACACTGAGAGAGGTCTTTAGATGTACCCCTATCGTTCTACATGGTTCCAAACTAATGATGAATTCATTTTCCTCAAAGGGCAGAAAATAATTTGGAAAACAAAAAAAAGACTAGTGTCTCTGCTGGGAACGAAGTTTGGGGTTTGCTCTCCAGCACAAAAGGCAGAAAAAAAAAGGAGGAAAAAAGGAGACCCAGGCTCGATCCCTGGCACCACACAGGGTCCCCCGAGCACTCGGTGGATGTGAAACATCCCCCTTAAAAAAAAGGGACAAGGAGAGGGTGGAGGAATGAGGAGTGACTGCTTAGGGGGTACAGGGCTTCTCTGTGGGGGTGATGAAAGGCCCTGGAGCCAGACAGGGCTGGGAGCCACTCATTCCTGAGGAATCACACACCTGGAAACCAACCAGCTGTGGCTCACCAGATGGGAAGAGGAAGAGGAAGAGGAAGAGGCCAAGACCTGCCCACCCGCCCAACCCCCAGGCCCTGCTGGAGCCCCGTCCTGCTCAGGCGGGTGCACCCAGGGCCCCCAGGTCACCCCACCTTGCAGAGGCTGTACAGCACAATCAGCACCCCGCCCAGGAAGTAGCTGTTGGCTGACTCGTCGCCCATGATGTATTTGTACCACAGCTGGATGGGGACCAGCGAACGGGACAGCTGGCTCAGCTCCTCGATGACCAGGTAGAACTTGCCCTGCAACCACACAGAAACATCAATTATTGTTGGCAGGAAAGACCCTCAGGGCCGAGCCCACAGGGCCACCCTCTCCCCACCCCGCTGAGCAGTAATGACGTTCCAGGCCAGGCCGGGCCATTCATCAGCCCAGGACAGTGCTCAGAGCCACTTCTAAGGGGCCTGTGGTGTGGCTGGGAGACACAGCCCCTGCCCGCAGCCCTCCTGCCCACTGGCCCAGGACACAGAGTGCCCCCCCCCCCGCCCAAAGAAACTCGATGCGGGTGGGGGTGGGGGGCACTCCCGGGGTCTGCGGTGGTTTTGAGGGCTCCGTGTCAACTGTGGGGGCAGAGAACCCCAGCAGCATGGTCCCCCCTCCTCCCCGAAGGGCTGACCCCGCCATGGGGCGACCACCTCCAGGGGCAGGGCGGCAGGTCAGGCCAGGCTGAGCAGTGGGGATCGGGGGACATGCTCTTCCCGGCTCGACCCCACCCCTTGAATCCAAAGAGGCAGGTGACAGCTGTGAGAGAAAGGGCGGGGCCGGGGGGATGTCTGTCTCGCCGCTATGTGCCTCAGTGTCCTCATCTCTGGAACAGGACCTCCTCCGCGTGGCTGGAGGGTGACTGTGAAAACCACCTGATTGAGAGGGCAGGCAGGAGCAGTGCTCCCTGACCACTGGGACGCTACCCGGCAATGCTGGTGGAGGGCATGTGGTCCTGGGGGTCCAACTTGGGCCTCACGCGTGCAAGGTGTGCATTCCATCCCTTTGCCCTTTCCTCCAACTTCCTCTGTGACCCTCTGACCATTGCTCTAGGCCAAGCTTGCATTTCTTTTCCTTCCTTCCTTCCTTCCTTCCTTCCTTCCTTCCTTCCTTCCTTCCTTCCTTCTTTCCTTCCTTCCTTCCTTTTTTCGTCACACCTGGCAATGCACAGGGGTTACTCCTGGCTCTGCACTCAGGAATTACTCCTGGCAGTGCTCAGGGAACCCTATGGGATGCCGGGAATCGAACCCGGGTTGGCCATGAGCAAGGCAAACACCCTGCCCGCTGTACTATTGCTCCGGCCCCCACATTTCTTTTCTTCGGTGTTGTTTTGTGTTGGGTCACACCTGGTGGTGCTCGGGACATACTCCTGGCTCTGTGCTCAGGGACCACTCCTGGAGGGCTTGAGGGCCCATATATGGTGCCGGGAATTGGAGCTGGGTCAGCTGCTCGCTGACTTGCCAGTGCCCTCCAGCTGTGCGATGGCTCTGGCCCATGGACACGATGACCAGGTGCTGCTGCCTGCTGCCTCCCCTTTCAGGTGTGCGCCTCTCTGGGGCTCACACACTCAGCCGCAGGCCTCCTGGCTGCTCGCCACGGCTCCCACCGCCTGGCCACGGGCTCAAATGGCCTTCGGAGGTGCCCACTGGGTTCCACTCCTCCAGCTGCTGTGTCACAAGCAAGGCCGGCGGCAGTGAGGCCAGTGAACCCACAGTGGCAGGAGCCGCGAGGACAGGCTTGGAGCAACACTGCGGTCTGACTCCCAGCACGGGAGGTCTAACTCTCAGCACTGGGGGGTCTGACTCTTAGCACTGGGGGTCTGACTCTCGGTACTGGGGGTCTAATTCAGCACTGAGGGGTCTAACTATCAGCACTGGGGTCTCAATCTTCACCAGAGGCTTCCACGGCAGGTATTCTAAGCTGTTGAGCTTTTCCTCCGGGTCCATCTCACAGTAGTTTCAAAAATCAATTTAGTTTTCAACTTATGTTTAGGCATCATGATTATAAAGCAGTTAAGCTAGAGTTTCCAGCTTACAATGTTTCAAAACCACTAAAATGTTTCCTTCGTGGTGGTGGTGGGGGGTGTGGGGGCAGTGAGATGGTGCGGATTCTAGGGCACTTGCCTGGCATGCAGCTGACCCGAATTTCATCCTGGCACCCACATGATCCCCTGAACCCTGCCAGGAGCGAGTCCTGAATGCAGAGCCAGGAGTAAGCCCTAAGCATATCCAGGTGTGTCTCCTCCCTGCTCCTCCCCGCCCCCAACAACAACAACAACAAGTCACCCTGCCTCTTGCCTGGGAACCTTATTAAGCAGGAAGAGACCTTGGGCACGGGATATACCCCAGCGCCTGCCACAGGGTCACTGCACATCTGGCCACGGACTCCACGCTCATCGCCTCCGTCCCCTCCAGTGGTGGGTGAGCTGGTGGTGGAGCAGCGGAGCTGGGAGCCGGGAGAGCGATCTCCTCTCTCCACTCACACTGATGTCACCGAGAAGAAAGGAGAGGCAGCCTGAGAGTGGTGGCATCTTCGCTAAAGGTAGCAATTAGCTGTCGGGGGTGTAGGGGTGGGGGGACGGGTAGGGGGGACTCGGAGAAGGAAATAAAAACCACCACCGGGGAAAACTGGGCATGTCCCAGGGAAACCTTCGCTCTCTAATTAATCAGCTCCATAATGCCAGGTTGCCCGAGCATGTGCTTCGCTGACGACCCCCCAAATGGGAAGCTCGGGGTGTCAGAGAACAAGGAACGACGCGGCTCGGAGCCGCCGTCTGGCCTTCCTGCCGCAGGGAAGGGGTGACTTGGGCACGGAGAGTTCCCGATTTGGATTCTTGGAGGAGGGGGGCGAGGGGGGTGCCGGAGAGACAGAAGGGGCGGGTTCTATTCTGCCTTCCCCACTGCCTGGCTGGCAGGAGGATGGGCGAGAAAGAGAGTCGGGAAGAGGAGGAGGCAAGGGGAGCACAGTGGGAGCGAAGCAGAGCGGGGTGCTGAGACGCAGAAGGGCACGTGGGGAGGCCGCACCCCACCCCCACCCGGGAAAGAGGGAGCCGAGATCCTCGGGGGTGCGGGGGGGGGGAGGCAGCAACAGAAGTGCTAAGAGTTAGACCCCAGTGCTGAGAGTCAGACCTCAGTGCCGAGAGTTAGACCCCCCAGTGTTAAGAGTTAGACCCCCCAGTGCTGAGCATCAGACCCCCCAGTGCTGAGAGTCGAACCCCAGTTCTGAGAGTTAGACCCCTTTGTTGAGAGTCAGAGCCCGAGGCTGAGAGGCAGACCCCCTCCCCATTACTCTGTCCCTGCGGTTGGGGGTCTGGGTTCTCCGCGCGCGCCTGGCTGCGTGGCTCCACCTCCGCTCCCCTCGACCTGCACATCGGGCTGCGAGCTCGCTCACCTGGCCCCCACGCACACCCAGGGCTGCGCTGCCTCCATCTCGCTGTTTGTCCTCACTCACGGGGGGTGGCACCGTTCAGGCATTGGGCTCACGCACAGCACAGTGTGGCCACCGGGAAGCTGTGCAGCAAGCCCATGCAGCTCTGGGAGCAAGGGGTGGGGGAATGCTCAGGGCAGCGGGGACGACGGGCTGGTCCTTAGGCACGTGGGCGGCACCAGAAATCGAACTTGCAGACTTATACTTGCAAGGCTGAGTGTGATTCCAGCCCCGGACACACGAATACTTAGACCAGCCTCACCTGCTTCCAAGCCTCTGTCATGCTCACCGGCTCAGCACCCACAAGGTCGCACCTGCCACCTGCTAAGCGTCAACTTTGCACAAGAATCTGCACTGGGGCTGGAGCAATACTACAGAGGGGAGGGCATCTGCCTTGCATGCGGCCAACCCAGGTTCAATCCCCAGCATCCCATAGGGTCCCCCAGCACCGCAGGGGTAATTCCTGAGCGCAGAGCCAGGAGTAAACCCCCCCCCCCCCCCAACAACAACAACCAAAAGAAGAATCTACACAAGATCTCGGTGCCTCTGTTTCCTCGCCTGTAAACGAGGAATCCCTCTGTGGAAGCGCTAAGTCCCAGCATGGTAGTATTCAAAGAGAGATAACGATGTTCTAAGAAGAGGCAAGAGTAAATTCCTTCCCCCCTACCCCTGGGTCTTGGCACAGATGGTGCCTTTTCTGGAGGGACAGCCGGACAAGGACCCCGAGTAGCATCCACAGTGCCCCCTTTGCCCTGACACTCCCACCGGCATCCTGTCCCGCTCTCATTGCTACCTTTCTCCTCACCTCCCTCCCTCCCCCGCCCCACCACCCAGTCTGGATGCCTTCACAGCTCCTAAAATGAGGGACTGTGAGTTTGGGGCGCTGCCGTCTCTGAGACAGAGCCGGAGTGGGGCTTGGCCCTGCACGGAGCTCACATTCACGTGCTGAGGGAAACAGCATGCCTCTGGGTCCTTAGAGTTTGGGGGGTGGACACAGCCCTCGAGGGCTTGACACCTGCCAGGCGCTGTTCTAAGCACTGTGGATGAATCCACTCAGCCCTCAGCCCTGGAGACAGGCACCCTCGGCTGCCACCGAGGCACGGACAGGTCCAGTCACTGCAAAGCGTCCGCAGCCAGGAGGCAGCAGAGACAGACTTCGAACCCGGGCAGGCTGAGCGCCAGAAGTCACTTGGCAAATTCACTCTAGACTGTCAAGTAACAACTGGGAGATGTTTAATAGCTTCCCGTTGTAGGCCCGAGTGGTTGCTATGGAGATAGGGCAAATTCAGGAACCCCAGGAAGGTGGTGCTGCTCCAGGATGGACACTACTCCCCACGCAAACTGGTCATCACAAAGTACATTGATGATGCCACCTCAGACATCCTAGTGCCTGGAATTGACTATCCCTGCAGAGTGACAGCCGCCATGGGCAAGAAGGAAATTGCCGGGGCTGGAGAGACAGCACAGCGGGTAGGGCGTGTGCCTTGCACACGGCTGACCCGGGTTCGATTCCCAGCATCCCGTATGGTCCCCTGAGCCAGGAGTAACTCCTGAGTGCAGAGCCAGGAGTAACCTCTGTGCATCGCCAGGTGTGACCCAAAAAGGAAAAAAAAAAGAAGAAAATTGCCAAAAGGTCCTTTTTGGGTCACACCCGGCGATACACAGGGGTTCCTCCTGGCTGTGCACTCAGGAATTACTCCTGGCAGTGCTTGGGAGACTATACGGGATGTTGGGATTCGAACCCGGGTCAGCCGCGTGTAAGGCAAATGCCCTACCCGTTATGCTATCGCTCCAGCCTCAAGGTCAAGTCTTTAGTGAGTTTAGAACTATATTC